CAGAATAAAGCCAGCAGAGGCAGCCTCACGGGCGCCGCTGTTAGAGTAAAGGAGCTGGTTAATTCCGGATGAAACAAGGACAATTCCGGCTGCGAGATAGCCAGTCACAGCAACGTGGTAGGTGTGAACTGCATCGCTTCCAATGACGACGAAGACGCCAACAATGAGGCATAGACAGTAGATACAGCTCCACCACACGAAAGTTGGGAAAGGGTCGTTCTTTGCAAGATCCGCATCGCTATTTTGTTGTACCCGTCCAATAATACAAGAGACAAAGGTGATAAACCAGGCGAGCTGCAAAGGTCAATTAGTTGGAGGGCTGTGGCAGAGCGTGAGAGGAACGCACCGTGCTAATGGAGAGCGTGGCCAAGGCGAAGGGGTCGCCGAGGATGTTGCTCATCTGAATGCCCTTGCGCTGGCCATACATTCTTGAGTGATCCATTTTCTGAAGCGAGGGAGAGTTGAGAGAATACGATGGCATAAGGAGCAACGGTGTCGAACGAGCTGGCGATCGAGGCTGATGCTAGAGTGAGGGCACGCGCTTTCTTCGTTGGTGATGGTCGGTTAACAAACAGGCGTAAGCAGAGTCGATTGCTACCGGAGCATTCGTCAGAAGAAGAACGATGTAAAGGCGAAGAGGCTGTGCCGGAATCGATGCAATTCGTTGCTGTGCTATGCAGAGCCAAGCGAAGCGAAACAGTGTCGATCGTTTGCAGGATTTCGATTGGCGTAAGACGAGCGGGAGGTCGCGACAGAGGAGGAAAGTCGAATGACAGGAAATACGTAGGTAATAATAGAAGATGGAAAAGAAAGGAGTGGAATGACCCAAGCCTGTGGTTGCGATAGAATATTACCTCAGGTGAGTGGATTCAGTGGGAGGAAAAAGAAGAAAAGAAGGAGAGGGCGGAAATGATTGAATTGAATTGAACGGACGGTTTGAAATGGGAAGAGAATGGACAGATTGGATGGATGAGCGGGATGCGCTGGTGAGAGAAGGGGGAAAATGCAGGGGGGCAGTCCAGTCCAGTTCAGTTCTAGACCAGGGACCTATTTCAACGGGCACACACAGAACCTTAGGTAGGTTCAGTACGCGCGAGATAGTGGATATTGCGACGTGAACAAAGTTGTGAGGAGCCCAAGTCGGTAAAAGTGGTCGAGGAAATAAAATAACAATAACAATAGCCCGCTCGTGCAACTCATGCAAGACACAGCACAAATGCGCGCGGCTGTAATGGGGAACAACAAGTGGCGGTTCTGTGCTGAATGAAAGCCACTGCCACCCCAATGAGTGCTGCACGGTAACCAGCCCGACCAGTAATGAGGTGCCGCCGTGTGTAGCGTCGCAGCGGCAGACTGACGCGGTCACAGTCAGACGGGAAGGGCACAATTTCAGGGGAAGGGGAGACGAGGGCAGTCTTGGCCCTTCCGGTTCGTATTAAGTCCGCGTGACGAATTGAAGAGGGAGGTATATCAATCAATGATATGGAAATGAGTGAATTTGGTGGTTGTCAGGAAAAGAACTCGTCGAAAGGAAAAGACGATGAGATTCCGGGCAGGAACCGATGGAAAGCTAATATGGCCGTCCAGTGGATGTCGCTCAGGTTCAGGGCCTCAAATCCACTACCTACAGAGTTCCCCGGCTGTGGGAAATGAAAGGCAGACGATAGTTCCGAGTGCTCTGAGCAAATCAAATCTCGCCCTACCCTTGTTAAACGTGGCGCTTCGTCTGCTCGTTGGCTCGGGCCCAAGTTCTGGGATCTGGAGAAGCTGTCGTGGCCGTGACAGGGTGGATCTTGCGAAGAGGGAGAGAAGTCGGACAACTTTAGCAAGCCGAGTCCGTGGTTGGATTAGAGACGATAGAGAGCAGTTGTTTCGTTTCAATGTCTTGCTTGTGGGCGATGGTTTATTGGCATCGATATTCGTTCCAGTGCCTTCAATATTCATCAAGATGAGAAATGGGAGCAGCCAAACCTGGTGTAGAGTGCAGGCAGCCTTCAACTTATTCTGGCACGTTCAGCTGCTACCACCCACCCAGGCTCTCGCAGGAATGGATGATACTGTGACTGTTGTCCAGTGAAGGTTAGAGTACACACTGTCTTGGAAACCCCAACCTACCCCAGCCGACATCATCAAGTTGACGGCGCCCTGGACAGGAATTCTACCTGACTCGTCTCAAAAGCAGTCAGCCCAGTCTAAACATACTGTGGCTGCAGAACACTTCAATCCACGGCAGCACCGTTCATGTGCTGTTGCAAATTGGCCTATTCTACCCCCGTCTTGTTTGAGGTTCGACTAGGGTCAAGTCTAATGCGGGCTATTGGCTGGTCGTGAGGCCTTGACTCCATTGCGGCAGTTTCATCGATACCATCTGGTTAAGCACAGGGCCAGATTTCATGAATTCTGGGCATATACATACAAGAGAAAATGTTGACAACCTAAGAGGCAGATCAGCTCAGCTCAGAGGAGGCTCGCGTGCGCCTTCTTAAAAGATGCAAGACATTGGATCTTTCTTATCATCGAGTGGCTGGTGTTTAACTCGAATAAAGCACTAATTTGAAACATTGACTACGCTCTGCCTCGTGACAACCGTTCAAATGTGGTAGATTTTTTCGGGCCGTCTTAACATAGAAGTTGAACTTTCAATTCAATGTTGTCCGAGCGTCTTCTTCTCAAGAAGATCTGATATTTGATGCCTTGCAATTGCTTGCATCAGACCCCAGCGACAGCGGATCGTTCTAAACCAGTTCCGTTAGATCGGCACAGCTAATCGCTACCGTTGCGGATCTATCATCTTTTGTCGATGGACTTTGTCCTTTCATGAAAGCGTCACGAGGTGATCAGTTCAACCACTTAGTTTCCTTTTCTTGCTATAATCAAGTTGCAATGCCCTGCTACTTTAGCCCCTGATGTGATACTTGACTGATTCAAACCAGCAGCGCGCCACCTCAGGTATCTTCAATAACGTCAAACCTGAATCTTCAGGTCTGTCCTACACTTAAACCCAACTTGTGACCGGCTGCCTCACTTCCCGCCAAGGGCTCTGACAGGCCCAGTGTCTCGATTCATCCCGTGTTACTCAACTGTGTCGACGAAAACCCACCAAGGGCTTTTCTTTGAAACTTTAGCTGACCCCAGTCACGGGAGGGCATTTACCCCTGGAACCACCAAACTCAACGAACGATGAGCCGCACAGCCGCGGATTTTCCCTTCCGATCGATCTTCATGACGTTCAAAGTCTTACTTTTTCATGTCCATCGACGCGTGGCTTCTCTTTGTCTTGATGATCGGCTCTGCTACAGAGCAGATCGATTGATGACAGCGCAGCATTGTTTGTGGAGCTGCTCCATTTGACCAAAAAGCTTGGGCTGAGCCACAACGGTCGCGTTGCTGATCATCTGGACTTCTTCTCTGGGACTAGTATTTGTCTATCAGGGCCAGTCATAGCCAAGGGTCCTGCGATATCTCTTGCTTTGAGGCTCATCGTATTTGTTGTATGGTGAAGTCTGGCGCCTATAAGAATACTTACACGGTTTGCACTTGTTCCTTAGAGCCGATTACATCCAATGATATGAAACTAATTAAACCACCTAGAGTAGCCTGCAGTTAGCGTCAGGTACGACTCAACGGGCTCAAAGCTTCATATGGATCCACGATCCACGATCCACTATCCATCGTGAGTCGTAGCTTGACAGATACATGTACCAAGAAGCTGCGTAGTATACCTAGCCTACCTTAGTGTTCGTAAGCTGAATGACACGAGAACATGGTAGACAGGAGCTCCAAGCTGGCAATGCCAAAATCCGAGGTTTCCCAAACACACCTGTTACACGGGCTCAAGCTGTTTTCCGCCTTTGACAGTCTTGGTAGCAATGATCATTAGAAGCTTCACAAAGGATGACGTATGAAATGGCTGCCAAACCAATCGCAAGTCTGTGGACTGTTTCGGTAGAGCAGCTAGAACACATATCTACGAACCTGGAATTCGTTCGAGTTAGAAGACATGTATCATGTCCAAGTGGCGAAACCTCAAGTTCTTTCTTCACCCTCATCCTGTCACTGTGTAGTTCTACATCATCAAAATGCTCTAATGAAGGTCACCACCCGAAATCTCATGTAGTATCACGATTGTCCAAAGGCAGGCTGGTTCAAATACTGCTACTTATCAATTCCGCCATGTGACAGCAAAGCAATATTGAAACACTTGTAGGGTATTTGCGACGCGGCATTGAGCTCTCATTAGTGGGTAATGAAAAAGACTGAAGTTCACTAAGATGTGTATATCTAGGATCTGGATCGTCTTGCACATAAAGCTTCAAAGAGGTCTGATCACGGCGATGGCGACGGACGTGGGCACCAAGTCGGCGTATCAACTTCTGAAACAACCCTCCTACACTTTCTCAGCCCTTGATGGCATTTGCTATCTGCTCAGGCACAAAGACAGTCTTCCATTCATTAGGTACCGAGAACAAAGAATAGTTTCAATGTGATAGCTACGAAAGCGATCGCCAGGACATCCTGGAAGTGGACTACTGCGAAATTAAAGCAAAATGTCGTTGCATTATACAGAAAATGGGCATAAGATTGCCATGTTCATGACCACTGCTCTCGTCCAAGGTTGGTATTGGCATAACTAAAGCGTGGAATACCAAGGACGGTTTCATGGCCCATCGCAGTACATTCATTGCAAAGCGCGAGGAGATCAAGATTCGATATCCCCCTACCGAGATGTCAAGTGCAAATAATGAGTTGATATAGTTCGGCCTCACTTGTAACCATGTCCCCCACAGCTCCGTGACAGACTAGCTTTGAAAAAGAGGTCAACAAAAACAAATAGCTAATATTTGATTTACCAATATTGAACTTCAATGCACTGTTGAGTGGATGTATTGGGTCACTGGGGCAGGTTATAGGTTGCGCTGTATATAGTTTTACTTGCCCAGAACCACCCAACATCTAAATCAACCAATTCCTTAATTTCAAGGGTATCTTTGAACCTGTTTTCATAGCTCTTCTCCAGCCTCCAACTCTCGCTCTGCCCTCCTCACCTGGCGCTCAACATCCTTCACTCGAGATTCGAGGCTGGCCATCGCTTTCGAGTTACTAAGGATACCGGTTTCGTACCAGGAACGAACTGCGATCTCGCTCCTTTGTCGAAGGTCGGCCATCTCAGTAGCTTGTGCGATTTGGGTTGCTTCGATTGCTTTCATTTTATCCTGCAATGCCACAAGCGCTGCGCTATCCGCAGGATCCGGAATCGGACTGTCTTTGATCGCGGTAAGGGACGAGAGAGTCGCAGGAAAGGCGGACGCTGAGGCTAGAACAATGGATTGGAGTGCATCGATGTCCAGCTGCGATGGTGGCTCTGATGGGTCGGACGAATGAAAGAAATCGGGGTGAGCTCTGTCTAACAGGGGTTCAGTATGGATTGAAACTTCAAGATAAATATGCCTGATACATACAGATCCTCATGAGCTCGTGGTAAACGCGGATATCGGACAGGAGCATCGAGAAACGTCGCTCGAGCTTGTTGAGCTGGCTAGCCGCCGACTGGTCTTGGGCCAGTGCAGGTGATTGGTTCTGGCCATAGAGGAGATGCTCGATTCGGAGAAGCCGTGATTCCAATAGATCGAGCGTAGAAAGAGTTGTTTCGTCCATATTGGTGGCCATCGTGACAGCGAGCGCCTGGGACCTGGAAGCGCGGGACCCAAGGGTACAGTACTTTGTAGCTACGCTTGAGGAATGACGGCGAGGTGGATGCGATGTGGGTCAGGAGCCCATTATTGATCAAGAACAGCCATCTCACGAGGCACAAGAGAACGCATACTGGGGACAAGCCCTATAGTGTGACATTTGCGGTCGGTCAGAGCTGGTCGTGTCAGGACCCATAAATGCCGAGCTTCTTAAAGTGGGTTGGATCATGAACTTGTGAGACCTGGAGAGTGAATCATGGTCTTCGTTGGCACATATTTTGCTCAGAGAATAAAGAAGAATGGAAAATTACATTGTTGAGATTTGATAGTCAATCTACTAATACAAGATATGCAAACTTCTTAAATGATAAGCCACTACTCTTTATCATGAGGTCGTTGCAGAAGTATGAGTTATGCTATGCGTCTCATGTCCCCGGAAAGCCCTGAAGCTATTCCCCAGATTAGGATCATGGCTTGTCAGAAAGTCCGATGATTCGCCAAATCACCATCTTGGCGCGCGCTCATTGGACGTGCGGGTTCGGCATAACACTCCGTTTATTTCAACTTGGATCGCAGGACCTTGTCAGGAATTCGTGTCTCCTGATTGCTTCTTCTTCCTCCTGCATCTCAAACATCCACAACAACCTCGCTGGCACTTTGCTCGTGACTTACCGTTTTGGTCTGTTGTGATCGAACGGTAGTGTTGAACTGTTTGTTCGCCAGGGGCCTTTGTGCCGCGGACGGTGCAGTATCAGCCAGTGGGTTGACGCAATAAGGTCTAGGGCTGCTGGCCTACCAGCCTTTCCGCCTCGTGCCTAGTCAGCACCTCAATCGGATCCTAATCCGAGGAACGCATCGATAACGAACATACATACCTCCGACACCTACAACTCTACATTGCAGCAGACAGGCGCACAGCCCGAATACAGCCAGCTTTACCCCTCGCGATCGCGCCGAATCCTCGACGACTCTATCCGCCTTATCGCCGTGTAATGACGAACTACTCTACAATATCTGATGGAAACGCTTCTTTATTTAGAAGTGCCGGCGACATGTCAAGGTGAGGAGACCTCGCCTGCCGACATCGGTTAAGGAAACATCATCGCTGACGAATGCTTTCTCAGACCTCGACGTCGCGGTCATAAGGATGGCGGCCATGGAGGCCAAGCCACTACGATCAGCAGTGTCGTAAACCTGCTAAATACAAGTACGTGCGACATCCTCTTTCTCTTTGGGCGCCTGCTGACAGAGGATGCGCAGTTGTTGGAGCTGGCACTCTTGCCATGCCCTCAGTTATGTCACATATGGGTATCATGTTGGGAGTGGTGCTGATACTGTGGTCTGGATTGACTGCCGCTTTCGGTCTTTACCTACAATCTCGATGCGCTCGATATCTCGACCGAGGAACCTCTTCTTTCTTCGCCCTATCGCAAATCACCTATCCCAACGCCGCCGTTATATTCGATGCTGCGATTGCGATCAAGTGCTTCGGAGTTGGCGTGTCTTACATGATTATCATTGGAGACCTTATGCCTGGTGTGGTATTGGGCTTCCTTAGCAACGCTAATAGCGCTCCGTATCTGGTCGACCGGAACTTTTGGATCACCGCGTTTATGCTTATTATCATTCCTCTAAGCTTTTTGAGGAGGCTGGACTCACTGAAGTACACTAGCATTGTTGCGTTAGTCTCCATCGGATATCTAATTGTCTTGGTGATCTATCACTTTGCATCCGACAAGCACGCCGACCCTGGTAGTATCAGAGTGATCCAGTGGGGCGGAGCCATCGAGACATTGAGCGCTCTACCAGTCGTTGTGTTTGCATATACTTGCCATCAGAACGTATGTCAAAATTCTGCAAGTTCATGATCCAGCTAACACAGTTAGATGTTCTCCATTCTCAACGAGCTGAAGGATAACTCACCGTCAAGCATTATTGGAGTTGTTGGCACAAGCATTGGCTCTGCTGCGTCAATTTATATTGTCGTGGCTATTACCGGTTACCTCACATTTGGCAATGCTGTTGTGGGAAACATAGTCTCGATGTGTAAGTTTCAACCCCTCCCCATACTTGCATAAGCTCACCAAGGCAGATCCTACTGGAGCTGCTTCAACAATCGGAAAAGCCGCTATTGTTGTACTAGTCACTTTCTCCGTTCCATTGCAGGTTCACCCATGCCGAGCTTCACTAGATGCTGTATTGAAATGGCGACCGAACCGCAACTCGTCGAACAACGGACGAACCGCAGCACCATTGCTCCCAGCATCCCCGGCCGGCGATCATGGAAGCACTGGCCCGATGTCTGACCTTCGGTTTGCTGTGATCACTACTTTCATTCTCACCTTCGCCTATATGACTGCTCTCTCAGTCACTAGTCTTGATCGTGTCCTAGCCTTCGTTGGCAGCACTGGATCAACTTCTATTAGCTTTATTCTCCCTGGTCTTTTTTACTATAAGATCAGTAACCCAGATAGCATACACCACCAACGACTGGCCAAGGAAGACGATGATATGGATGAGGACACACCTACCTCAGATGTTGAGGAGTCCGCTGCACTGGCTCAGAGCACAACTAGTGTTCGCAGTGGTGTGAGCATCGCTAGCAATGCCAGCACCCGCAGCAACCGAAACTCGTGGCGTTGGAGACGCAAGTGGCGATGGGATCTCGAGCACATCGAACATCACCATCTGCGTAGACTCGCCCTCGCACTGGCGATATACGGATCCGTCGTCATGACCGTGTGTCTTGTTCTGAACATTTTCTTTGCTGTCACTCATTAATTGTATCATTTTCTCTTACGGCCTCATGGATGACAAATGCTGGATACAGGCGTTGTTAGAAGGAGCACATGATGTTTTTTTCAGCGTTTCAACTTCAATAGATGGCTTAAACTTAGTTAGACAAGGTATTGTAGCGCTTCAATACAATTACAATAGCGAAAAAAATGGATTGGCCGTCGTGATGTGAACCCTTCCAACAAATATCATACAGACTTCTCTAGTTGCTGGACAATTCTTTGATCCGAGACCCTGTGCAAGCCCCAATGTTTCTTGATGTGGCTCTTGGTTTTTGGGCTCCCATCTGACTGAACTTCGTGATGTCGTCCTGGAACCAACGCCCATCGATGCCTTTTCGTACATATCATACAGCCCCCGAGCCACTCATCGAATTCTGACCTTCTCCTGGTCTATGACACCCTTTGTGTTGTCTTGTTTGGGGCCAAATTGCTTCTTTGGTAGAATACCCACCATAGAAAGTAACCTCCAGGCTGTGTCTGTGGGCTGTGCACCAACGCCGATCCAGTATCTCGCGCGTTGACTATCGAGCTTGATATCCTTATGAAGCTTTCCGGATGTGTCGTAAGGGTCGGGTTTAGGAATTGGGTCGTATGTGCCAATGACCTCCAGCGGGCGGGAGTTACGAGCCGTCCTAGATACCTGTTAATGATGCGGTCAATTGTGACATATATCACGGGCTGACGGACCGGGCGTGGGCAATAACAATATTGTAGAAGGGTTGGTTTCGACGCCCAAATCGGGCGAGGCGGATCTTGACAACCATGGCGGCGATATGGGGAACTTGAGGACCACGAATTAAAGCAATTACCAAGTTGTTTGCTGCTATTCTGAAGGCTGTCAAATTCGACACGGAGCCGGGGGCTATTTTCGCCGATGTGGCTTGCATCATACGGAAGATGGTGGGTCGACCGGGAATAGTGTGGCTACCTAGGCACCTATCCACATGGAGTTCCAACGGCGGCTGATGAAGCAGCTCTTGCCGAGTGATGTCAGTCCGTAACTTCCTGGACATTTCAACCATTCCTGACTGACGACATTTTCGAATTCACCCAACTTTTCCATCTCTCAGACCCATACGGAATCTAGTTTCCGCTAAGACTTTTGCGAGGATTCATCGATCATTATCAAAAACGCAATATTCAAAGGCATCATGGCGATCAAGGCAAGTCACAAGTGCTCTCATTGTCACTCTACAATCATTCACTGACCGTTTCAGACCCTCGGAGCCAAGGCTGCTGCTGCTCTTGATCAGGAGCTTATGAGCACTGGAGCGTTCTCTATTGATCAGCTCATGGAGCTCGCTGGGCTTGCTGTTTCTCAAGCTGGTTAGTGATTTTACCTCACTTGAGCCCCCTAAGATTTCACTTTGGTCTCACAAAGCCCATGTCATTTCTCATGACGATGAACTGCTAACATAATAAGTCTACCGCCTCCAGCCTCTCGAGAGTGGCCGCAGGATCCTTGTTGCCTGTGGTCCTGGAAACAACGGTTGGTGTTTTCTGCTTACCTGCTTGTAACAAGAATGCTCACTAACAGCATCAGGTGGTGACGGGCTAGTCGCTGCTCGCCATCTTTGTCAGTATGGATACAGCCCGAGTGTCTTCTATCCCAAACGAAGCAAGAATGATCTCTATCAAGTAGGTTTACCAAGAAAATCCGGGTTTCACAATTTTTTCACCATGAAAGTCGCATGACGTTTTGTTCGTAACATTGCTGCGATCTTGTTGCTACGTGCTTCTCACAATTATTTTGTCGGTTTTCTACCAGTACTACGGGAGTCGTTGAATGGTAACAACCGGTGCACCGGAAAATCGGTATACCCAACCTCTCAAACACGTCTCGTCTCGATTCCATATCCGAAAGCTGAATAGTTGCTGATACTGCTCCCAGCGACTCGCAAAACAACTTGAAGATCTTGGGGTTCCTTTCGTCAATGACTTCCCCTTGGCGCTGAACTCGACGGATCATGTTGTCGACGCGATATTCGGTTTGTACTTGTACTTTTTCGATAGCGACAGTCTTTGACCGTTCAACTAGGTTTCAGCTTTTCAGGAGAAGTTCGAGAACCATTTCCTGCTGTGATTCAAGCTCTTCAGGACACAAAGCTCCCAGTCACAGCAGTTGATGCCCCTTCATCCTGGGATATCGAAGATGGTCCACCGAAGTCGGGACTCGGCAGTTCCTTCATGCCTACAGCACTTATTAGCCTAACGGCACCAAAGCCACTAGTGAAGCATTTCAAAGGTCGACACTTTATTGGCGGGCGGTACGCACCAGTCAATAACACTGTCTCAGCTCTCAAGGCAACTAACCTCCAGCATAGGTTTGTGACTCCATCCATCGCAAAGAAATATGACTTCGAGGTCCCAGGGTACAAAGGAGTCGACCAGGTCGTGGAGGTTGAAGTAGCTGGACAGAAGCTCTGAGAGTCATGGCTGGGATAATGGCGGATCGGAAAGAGGAAGTATGCAGTAACTACCCCTTGTTCGAGATTTTGAATATATAACAGGCGTTTTACATGACCCGACAGCCTCCTCTCAGACTATTCGGACAAACTGGGCTTGGGCACTGTCCGTCACGCATACCATTCCGAAGAAAAAGCAGGCCTTGTGGGCATACAAGCAATGGCGGGTGGAAGAAGTGGCAGAATTCAACATAAACCAGATAATCTTTCCCGCAGACGTGGCATGCAGCCGAATGCTGCGTGCACATTTATCGTGAGCTCGAGCTTGTTCTTAAACTTCGAGTGGTTGATGATCGAAGTCGACGATTGAGAAAGGGGAGGCTCGCACGAACGACATGGACAACGATGTTGAAACGTTTAAGGTGGCGCATGAATGTGTAAGTAGGGACAAGTTGACAATTACCACAGACAAAAGATACTGGTGATCAATTCTCAGGAGTCGTTGCAAAATAACTGTCTGGCAGTAACCGGATAGGGCTGATATAAAGAGTGTGGCGTCGAAACAAACGTGCCGTCTAAGAAAGTACAGTACTGTGAAGACGTGGTTGCCACCGAGGCCCAGTGTGTCCAGTATATCCAGGGGGGGCTTCAGGGGGTTACAGGTACCCAACCGGAGCTTAAAAAGGCGAGAAGACGAGTCCACGTCAGGTTGGTTGTCTCGGCCCCGAGCGACGTTACCTGGAGGGCTCGTGGCAAAAGAGGGACATGGTGACGGGCGGATGGTACCGCACGAAATAGAAAAGGGAACAAGAGCATGCGACCACGAGGCATTTTGAAGAAGGAGATATTAAAACCCTGTGCGTCCGCCGAGCAGCGACTTTTGGTGGAAAACACTACCTCACCTTTACGCTTGTCTGATGAGCACCGTCAAGCACCCGGAGCTTTTGCTCCTTGACCCGCACGGTAGGCAGGGGGCGGTAATGCAGCGCTTACAAAACGTACTGTATGGATAAACGAACCTCAAACAGGGCCCACCTTTCTTACATGAGAGCACGAGTTTCTTCATGAACCAACTCGAAGGGTACATATCCATGACTTGACTCGCGATCCCCATTCACGTTTTAAGCAGAATTGGAATCGGTATTGGAACTGACGCTGGCGCTGGCGCTGACACTGAGATCGGCCGACCGACTGAACCGAACCGCTGATGCGCCCAGCCTGAAAGATCGGACGTGTCTCTCCGTCACACTCGCGCCATCGATTCGCAACTGGAGACATCCATTCTCAGACAGCATAAGGCTCCAGAAAACCCAGCGCCTCGCAGGGTTCAGGCTCGGGCATTCTGCAACCCGGAATCGGTACGGGAGCTTCGGACGGCACCGTTGGCTAGCGGACTTGTTTGCGTATACAATATGTCACATAGCAAGTCTTGCACATATATGTGGTTAAACAGTTACAGGGCAGACTGATTAATACCATTTCCGAGACTCTGGTATTTGATTTGGGGTTGGCCCGAGCTAGGGATCCCGACGCTACCACCGTCAGGGTCCTTGTTGTGGCCCGCGATCTCGGGACCCACGATCGTGAATGGAGTATTATTCTGGTAGATCGAACGGCGTCACGTCATGACATCGACTTTACTGGCCGGTCTAATCAAACGTCAGTGTGGCCGGAATACCCTCTCTTCAATCCACCTCAAACTAGCTGAAAACACTCAAAAAATGCTTTTGTTTGCTGCACAGTATTCGGTTTGTGGGACGAACACGTGCCTGCTTCAATTCAGCTACACCACAGTCCAGGGTCATGTGTATGGATCAGAACAGGGATTAAGTTCCCGAATGTTTAAAGCTGCCTCTGATTGCATCTCTCGAAAAACCGTGTGTGTCATTTGGGGATTACCCCTGCACCCTTGTTGAAATGCAGAAGTAGTGGCATCTCCGGTCAGCTTGTCAGCCACGTACCGGAACCCCGGCCGCGGGGTCTAGACCATCAAGATAACATGGCCATGCAGCTCGTTGCCCGATCATGAAAGTCTGCAGAATGCAACTATCTGGTCTCCAGATCGGAAGGAAACCATAGGACGTTCAAGACAGCCTCGGTCGACGCAATGAGATGGACTCGGTGTCACCGTAAGTGACACATTTCTTTTATCACCTGGTTAGGTTCGGCAGTGGTGAACGGATGGCTGGTGGGCCATGCTGTGGCGTAGCTGCTGTCGACATCTCATCAGTTATGTTCTCGAAGTCAATTGGGCCAGAGCCTGGAAGCAATTGCAAAATGATAGAGCTGCATATTGAAGATCTTGCTCTTTTGGGGCCACCACTACCAAGTTCGACAAGCGCAGAACCACCTTCAGCCACCAACAGGGGTAAACTTGAATGAGTTGCAACGGGTTGGAGAACGGATGTTAGTGGCAAGCACTTTCGCGGCTCGTTGCTCAAAATTCGATGCATCAGTTGTTAGGGCTCGGATTGGCTTCAGTTTGCTTTTGTGTTCACGGCACGGATACAAGACGGAATTGGGGGTCACCTAAGGGACCCCTGTTTACTAATTGGGGGGGTGAAACATCAGCAGCTGTTAAGTTTTTGCCCCAGACACTTTCAGGTTTGGGGTTGGGCTTGAATTCTTTGCAAAAGCATCCGGAGACTGACAGACAGCTAGCCCTCAGGGAGCAAGAAAACACGGAACCTTAACATAAAATGTCAAAATAAACTAAGTAAATGATATCATAAACTCATACTAACTTTAGGCTGAATTTATGCTAACTTACCTTAAGTCTTTTTGTCAGTTGGGGTCGAGGTCCTGAGTTTTCTTTCCTCCGCCTAGCTAGCCTAGGCACCCACAGAAGCAGGGGAACAGCGGCTAAGCGGTGTGTGATCTACGACAAACCGGAAGGATTCCTCATCATGCCAATGGCCAAATTTTATGTGCATCGCTTCAATGAGGCTGATCCACGGCTCAAGTGCCCTCAGCGGTCAGGTCAGGCCAAGGCAAGTTAAGTCAAGTCCCGTCGGGGACGGTCTTCTGGGGTGGATCATGACATTGAGAATGGAGGTTGCACTGCAAAATGATGCATATCAGCTGTGTGATGAGATAAGATGCGATACGATATGAGATTTCCGCACTGCAAGGCGGAAATACGAACATTTTTACAGGGGACTTTTTGCTTACTCCAAGCGGAGAGTTTACTCCTGCGAGTCCAGCGTCCAATCAGGCATCGACAAGGGAAAAAAGCAGCCCGGAGCCATCTCCGGATATTGCAACACATTGCTGCAGACATACTTGACTTTGCAGGGGAAAACAGCCACCTATACCCCCCCCAGTGGCATGGATCTTACAGAAGAGTAGAAATTCATACTGTGCTGTGCTGCTGGTATGCACCAAATGAGGGGAAATGGGCAGTGATGGTGTCGAGATGCCTCATTGACGTCATAGCCTCAACTGCCGTTTGCTAGAAGATTCTACGAAGAACACGATTGTTCTGATCGACTGGAATGCAACGTTCTATTACTTTCGCCGAGGACAGTCAAGATCTGTTGCCACAATGGCTACTGGCTGCGTACGCACGATAGCATTTGACGAACCAGTGAATACGATTGGCCACGGGGCTTACAAGTCTCAGTTCTCAGTTCTCTTACCTAAATTTGGGCAGATATTTCTAATATCTGTCAGGCCACCTGAGGGCCTCCATCGCAGCTATGCCATTCTGAGCATAGAGTCAATCAGCCAGCCATTCTAGCCTGTTCAGCCTCGTTGTCTTTCCAAGAGCGGATGCTTTGGCCCTTCTCGAAGTGACAACTTCTCAATACCTATTGTATTAGGAGTCGAAACTTCTAGTTCCTTCGCTTACAGCAGGGGATACAGCTGTCCCAGGACTAGGTGACTTTGATGGCTTGGGCTTCATCACGGAAGGTGTTGGTAGGGGTACCGGACCTTTCTCAAACAACGGTGTACCTAATCAACAAGCTCCATTAGTCGGCGCCTCTCACGCAGTGGGACTTACACGTTGTAAATTAGAGATAAACTAGTTCGGCAGGAGTTGAGGTATAGCGTAAAGGCTGGAGACTAACGGGGTTCTCGCGGCTGACGCAAATAAGTTTGCGCGTCCTGTTGGCGTATTTTCATCACGAGAGAAGTGACTCATTTAGAGAAAGAATAAGACACTTAAAGAATATCACTGCAAGGGGCAAATATGCCATTACGAGCCATCAGGTCTTGTAGTAAGAGAAGGAGCTCTTGGATTGTGCTATTGTAAGTGATGAGCAACTACGTTTGAAAACTGCTGACGCCACGAAGATAGGAACCAGACGAAACTACTGGAGCCGACTTGATTATTCACCGCTCATTTCTTTCGGAGGGGGATCCTTGATGTGATTCCTGACATGTCGTTGACTTCATAAATTGTCCCTTGAGCTTTATCACATCGAGCCGCGGCAAAAACTCCGCCCCCGACTCTGATTGTTGATCACCTGCTGTGTCGTGTCAACGGACCGACGGATCACCTCCTTTACTCTATTCACATCAGGGTATATCTTGTGCTCATGGGGTGGAATTGCTAAGCTATCTTCTGCCTGCGGAAGGTTACGCGGACTCGTGGAGCTGAGTGACTCACGGTGATGCTAAGTAGGAAGTTGAGGGAAGATTCTCCGAAGAAATGGGTTGCGAGGCGTCCTTTAGAATTTTGAATTTCGTTGACACGAAATTCTGAGCTGCGAACCTAGGAGAATAAGGAAATTCGGCCAGCAACGAAGCTTTGATACCCGAGTCTTTTTTATCAATGAAATTGCCCCCCTGAAATCTTACTTGTCGATCCAGTTGCCATGATCTATATAACTATGCGTCTTTCAAGCTCTTTTCTTATCCCTTGACCAAGTTGACAGAGAACGATATCAATCAAAACTCCCCGCATGCTAAGGGATCGAAAGAATTGGAAACCTTCGTCCAGTATGTAAGTTTTGTTGTTCTGATCAGTGATCATATAGCCCCCAGCTCCTGATTCAGTGGACAGGGAGGAAATCCTTCGCCTCTGGTCGCCTTCCTCGTCCTGATACATTAGCCTCACAGAGACTACCATTGATTACAAGATATAGTACGAGAGGAAACGCCGTACAACTTGTACGGGGGACCTTTGGCTCCAGAGCTCCTCCGGGGGGTTGTTGGCTCTCACCTTGATAAGGTAGTTAATAAAGCAGAAAGTGTTGATCTGACATGTTGGCCTTTGCTAAGGCAAATTGATGAAGCATCTGTCCTTTGAGCATTTGATTCGAATTTGCATCATTTTCGTGATATTTTATGACCATACACTTTCAGGCTTCAACTGTTTTTCTGTCCAACTTTCTCACAGCGTTGGAAGCAAAAGTGCTTCTCTATGACAAGCCTAGACTCCCTACAAGCTACCCAGAAGCCGCCATCTCGTGAATAGATGGACTAGTATTGACATTATGGACAAGAGTTCAGTCGACCGGTGATCAAGACGCACTATCAGGTTCATGGCGTATGAGGCTACAGCGATTGCTGGGAACCAAGGAAATGTACTCCTGGTTGGCTTGGTCAGATTTTCAACCTGCAGGCATTAGCTCTGATTTCTTAGACGAGATTTTAAAAGACAGGCAAAGACTGCGAGTATTTGAGTCAAGGTTCAGAATTTGAAAGCAGTTGGCGTAAGATACGAAATGGAGCGTGAGTTCTGAAAGATGTGGAGGAAGTGAGTTGGAATGAGAAGGAGAGGCAACGAACTAGAAAATAGAACTGATCGATGTTCTGATACAGGGAGTAAAGCATGTCTTCTGGAGTGGCCATGATAAAAAATACAATATCCCTGACGTATTTATTGAATTGGCTAACAAGTCGACCTACTGAGGCGTATGTCAAATTTCATCAAAACGCATGAAGTTGACATCTATGAGAGCTCATTCTTCAAGCTTTCATACTGAAGTTCTGTAGCTAGAGCCTAATGCCCCAGATCTGCCTCTGTTAGATATCACTGTGAAATGTCGAAGCTTTTCATGGCTGTGAAACCCTTGGGTTGTTGCGGATGAGATTGTCACAAACCTCCAGAGAGAAAAACGTGGTCTCGGAATGAAAATTGAACCTGTTTTAAGTTTAGAACAAGCTTATAATTAGGTTACTAGAACGTGGGTAGTGATATGATCTACATGAACTAAGTGAATGCCACTCAAGAACTTTTTAGCTTAGTATAACTAGGTAGCACGAGGTACCCATCGTTTTAGTGTCATTCTAATTATAAACACCTTCCAAAGTGCCACGAACGCGTATGGGAGAGTCAGTGCTGAGTGCTGATGGCGACAGAGGTGAAGTCGGAGCGCCAGTACCGTTAGCAGATGAAGCTACAATAAGAAAGTGCCTGTTGCGGTACTGTCTGCAGACTCAAGGCATTGTCTCTATTTCACTGCCTCAGATTGCCCTTCGGCAAAAAAAAACAAAAAACGTTGAGGCTTTTTGTGAAGAATAGGGCCCAAGTCTTGATTGAAGCCGTTCGCAGTTCGCTTGGAGGAATGTTCACTCGACTGAGCTGGGTATAGCTAAATGCCCTGGTACAGCCGATTTATGAAATTGTCATATCGTTGAGACACGCCTAAGGATGATGCGGTTGAACAAGATAAGTGATGTCAATTTATGGAAGCAAATATACTAACAATCTCAACGATAACTAGCTATTATACAGCGTGTGTAGATACAAGTACAGATACGGGTACAGATACAGATACAGATACAGATACAGATACAGATACAGATACAGACACAGACATAGGAAACGAATTCGTGTCAAAACCTCTTGGTCTGAGACTCGAGGAACTGACAGTGGACACATAGGAAACGAATTCGGGTCGTGACCTCTTAGAGAGTCCGACTGTAAACAGACATAGGAAAAGTATTAGGTGTCGAGACCCTACTCGTCTTGGCTTTATAGGGTCTGACTGTCGATACATCTTGCACCATCGTTCCAGGATGACGATGGACCTGTTGCCAGGAACTTTGGAGTTCCAATCGAAGGGGCGATAGGGAACTTCCAAATCTGACCGCTGGTGTTCTCTGAACCGTAGAGGTTTCCGTCTTGCGAGGCATAGGCAGCTCCCCATACGTTCTGACCAGCAATCATACCGAAGCCCTGAATAGTCGTCCATGTGTATGTCGTACGGCTGAACTTGCATAGCGTGGATGTCTTGCCCTGGTCGTCGTACATGATGGAGTACATGAAGTCGCCTCCTCCAGGGACGAAGGCCCAATCGGCAGAGTTGAGAGGGTTCTTAGCGGTGCCGCTCATGAGAATCTTGCCGTAAGTGGATGAGCCAGGCATGAGATCGATACACCACCAGCCTTCTCCCTGGTTCGAGATCCAGAAGCGACCTTGGTTATCGATATCACCCATCTGAACGAGACGATCATTGGTACGAGTACCGAGCAGTGTCCAACCACCGTCGCCACCAATTCGGATAACTTGAGAACCCGTATCATCCATGTGCATACCGTAGATGTAGTTGTCGAAACGGTTGTAACCGATGGCATTGATCCAACCACCAGGACCGACATCACTCTTGATAAGAGTCGTCTTACCAGACGTGATCTCGACACGGTAGAGAGCCGTCTTCTGCATGAGATAACCGTATACATCACAATTGAAGGAGACAGTGGCTGCCGGCGCAGTAGTTGTAGTGCTGCTGGTGGTGAGCGGCCTGGAAGATGTAGTAGATGTAGTAGATCGGGGAGCTGGGGTTGCGATGACCACGGTGGCAGGGTCGCCAGGCTCACCCGGAGCATGAGTGGAGGTAACAGGGGTAGAGATTGTAGTGCCACCGTTTGTAGTGATTGTGACTGTGCGACTCGGTGGCATCTCGACGATGACGGTACCAGGATCGCCAGGTTGGCCAGGCGGTGAATATGTAGTGTATCTTGCAGTGAGCGTTGTCGGTCCAGCTGTAGTGACCGTGACGTTGTAAGGAGGGGGATATTGCACGATGACAGTATCGGGATCGCCTTGAGTTTGTGCAGGCGCAAAGACAGTAGTAGGTCGGGTAATAGTGCTGGCTGTTTGTGTCGTCGTGACAGTGTATTTGGGAGGTACCCGCACAATGAAGGTACCTGGGTCGCCTTGGGTAGCTGGCGGTGCGTAAGTTGTTGTAAGCCGGGAAATAGTTGAGACAGTGGTTGTGGTAGTGACATTATACTCAGGAGGTACCCGGACCCAGACGGTTCCGGGGTCACCTTGTGTAGCAGGGGCTGAGTATGCAGTTGTAAGTCGGGATATGGTTGAAACAGTCTGCGTTGACGTGACGTTATACGAAGGGGGCATTTGCACAACAATAGTACCTGGATCTCCCTGTGTAGCTGGGGGGTTATACGCAGTAGCCACGCGAGAGATAGTTGAAACTGTTTGTGTTGTTGTGACATTGTACTGTGGTGGCATCTGCACCACAACTGTACCTGGATCTCCCTGAGTAGCCGGGGCCACATATCTGGTTGCAGGTCGAGATATCGTGGGAACAGTCTCAGTGGTAGTGACATTACGGTCAGGGGGAACCTGCACAATGAAGGTTCCGGGATCACCCTGTGTAGCTGGAGGAGCATATGTTGTAGACATACGAGTGATTGTGGGGACGGTCTGAGTGGTTGTCACATTATATGCAGGCGGCAGCCTTACCCAGATGGTGCCTGGATCACCTTGTGTACCAGGCGCAGAATAGGTGGTATATGCTCTCGAAATCGTACTGACAGTTGAAGTGACGGTGACGTTGTACTCCGGCGGTACGTCCACGTAGATGGTTCCAGGGTCTCCTTGTGTGGCAGCAGGACCATATGTTGTCCTCACACGACTGATAGTGGTGATTGTGTGGGTAACTGTCACGTTGTAGTCCATTGGGACCTGGACCAGGACCGTGTTAGGGTCTCCCTGAGTGGCAGCTGGATAGTATGATGTTCTGACCCGACTGATCGTGCTGACTGTTTGAGTAGTAGTGACATTGTAGTCAACGGGCACCTGCACAAGGACTGTATTAGGGTCACCTTGAACAGAGGCAGGGTTGTATGTCGTTCTAGCTCGGCTGATTGTGCTGACAGTTTGAGTGGTTGTTACGTTATAGTCAACTGGGACCTGAACCAAAACTGTTCCAGGGTCGCCTTGAGTTGCACCCGGGTTATAGGTGGTCCTAACCCGCGTGATCGCACTGTTGGTTTGGGTGGTGGTCACGTTGTAGTCAACAGGGACCTCAATGAGTACGGTATTGGGATCACCCTGAGTGCCCGCTGGCATATAGGTGGTCCTAATGCGACTAATTGCACTGTTGGTCTGGGTTGTCGTCACATTGGAATCCGGTGGGACTTCAATGAGAACCGTGTTCGGGTCGCCCTTAGTGGCAGCAGGCATATATGTGGTCCTGACCCGAGTGATCGCACTGTTGGTTTCCGTCGTTGTCAGAGTGTAATCAGGAGGAACTTGAATGAGAACCGTATTAGGATCTCCTTGGGTGCCGGCAGGATAGTATGATGTCCTGACCCTGTTGATCGTGCTGATGGTTTCGGTTGATGTGACATTATAATCCGGCGGAACCTCAACGAGCACCGTATTGGGATCGCCCTGTGTTGCAGCAGTCATGTATGAGGTCCTGGCACGGCTGATACCACTGTTGGTCTCGGTGGTTGTGACGGTATAGTCAGGAGGAACCTGGATAAGGACCGTGTTGGGGTCACCCTGCGTCGCTGCAGTCATATAAGTAGTTCGGATACGGCTGATACCACTGTTGGTTTCAGTAGTTGTGACAGTGTAATCAGGAGGAACTTGGACAAGGACGGTATTAGGGTCACCCTGAGTACCAGCAGGCATATAAGTCGTCCTGACCCTGTTGATCGAACTGACAGTCTCCGTGGATGTGACATTGTAGTCCGGGGGGACCTCGATAAGAACCGTGTTGGCATCACCCTGCGTCGCGGCAGTCATGTAAGTAGTTCGGACTCGAGTAATCGAAGTGACAGTCTCGGTTGTTGTGATAGTGTAGTCAGGGGGAATCTCAACAAGGACGGTATTTGGGTCACCTTGCGTACCAGCAGGCATATAGGTAGTCCTAACCCTGTTGATCGCACTGTTCAACTCAGTGGTTGTGACGTTGTAGTCAACTGGAACCTCGACTAGGATAGTGCCTGGGTCGCCTTCGGTTGCAGCTGGATTGAAGGTTGTGCGGACACGACTGATAGTGCTGACAGTCTCAGTTGTAGTGACGTTATACTCCGGCGGCAGATCAACATAAACGGTGCCAGGATCACCCACGGCTGCAGGGCTTGCAAAGCGTGTGGCAGGGCGGCTGATGGTGGGGACTGTTGATGAGACCGTGACATTGGAATCAGGGGGGAGCTCAACAATGATAGTGCCAGGATCGCCCTGAGTTCCAGCTGGAGCAAAGGTGGTTGAAGGCTTTGTGATGGTCTCGATGGTCGTGGTGATAGTGACGTTGTATTCCGGCGGGAGATCAACATACACGGTACCGGGATCTCCAACTGTGCCTGGACGAGAGTAACGGGTTGTGGGTCTCGAGATCGTAGAGATAGTTTGAGTTGTTGTGACGTTAGAGTCAGGCGGAAGCTCGACGATTATAGTGCCCGGGTCTCCTTGGGTACCTGCTGGGGCAAAAGTAGTTGAAGGTCTTGTAATTGTGTCGACGGTAGTCGTGATGGTAACATTGTATTCCGGCGGCAAGTCAACGAAAATAGTGCCGGGATCGCCAATAGTATCCGGCTTCGAGTATCTAGTGACCGGTCTGCTGATGGTCTCAACGGTTTGAGTCGTCGTGACGTTATACTCGGGCGGCATTTCGATAATGATGGTGCCAGGATCGCCTTGAGTAGCAGCAGGAGCAAATGTCGTGGACTGTCTCGTGATTGTGGGGACTGTTGTGGTTACAGTGACATTGTATTCCGGCGGAAGGTCAACGTAAATAGTGTTGGGGTCGCCGACAGTACCGGCCTTGGAGTAGCGAGTGACTGGTCTGCTGATTGTCTCAACAGTCTGTGTTGTAGTCACATTATACTCAGGAGGCATCTCAATGATGACAGTACCAGGATCTCCTTGGGTAGCACCAGAAGCAAAGCTTGTGCTCTGTCTTGTGATGCTGTAGATCGTGGTTGTGACAGTGACGTTGTACTCGGGTGGTAGATCGAGATACACAGTGCCAGGATCGCCAATCTCAGCAGGGCTGGAGTACCGAGTGACTGGCCTACTGATTGTTTCAATTGTCTGAGTTGTGGTGACGTTGTACTCAGGGGGCATCTGGACGAGCACGGTGCCTGCATCGCCTTCAGTAGCAGGGGGTTCAAACGTTGTGCTTGGTCGAGTGATTGTACTGACAGTTGTGGTCATTGTCACATTGTGGTTCGGGGGCACATCGATATAGACAGTGCCTGGATCACCCTTCGTGGCAGCGGGCACAAACCGAGTGGCTGGGCGTGTGATCGTGGGCACGACATCAACGATAGTAGTGTTGGTGTCCGGAGGCTCTTGTACAACGACTGTGCCGGGGTCTCCTCGATTGGCAGGAGGCATATATGTTGTTCTGACCCGGGTGATTGTGCTGACCTCTTCCGTAGTGGTGACATTCCTATCAGGAGGCAATTCGATGATAATAGTACCCGGATCGCCCCTGTTTGCGGGCGGAGAATAGGTTGTATACGGAGCAGTCAGTGTAGCGATCTCGGTCGTTCTAGTCACGTTCCTGTCAGGCGGGAGTCGCACAATAACAGTGCCGGGATCACCGCGGTTGCCCGGTGGTGAATAAGTAGTATAGGCCTCGGTCAACGTAGGGACCTCTTCCGTGGTAGTCACGTTACGATCAGGAGGCAATTCAATGATAATTGTGCCTGGATCGCCCTTGCTTCCTGGCGGAGAATAAGCCGTGTAGGGAGCAGTGAGGCTAGAGATCTCGGTAGTGATCGTGACGTTGCGGTCTGGAGGCAATTCCACGATAATGGTGCCGGGATCGCCTGGAGATCCTGGAGCAGAATATGTTGTATACGGAGCGGTGCGAGTGGGTACTTCAGTTGTAATAGTGACATTCCTATCAGGTGGCATTTCCACGATGACAGTTCCTGGATCGCCCTTATTGGCAGGGGCTGCATAGGTAGTATACGGAGCAGTGAGACTAGCCACCTCGGTCGTGACCGTAACATTCCTGTCAAAAGGCATCTCGACGATGATAGTACCCGGATCTCCTTTGTTGGCCGGCGCTGAGTATGTTGTAAAAGGGGCAGTCCGGCTCGCGACTTCGGTCGTGATGGTGACGTTGCGACTAGGAGGCAATTCAACAAGAACAGTGCCAGGATCTCCCTGGGAACCGGGAGGATAGTAGGTGGTATAAGGCGCTGTTCGTGAATCCACCTCAGTTGTGATGGTAATATTGGAATCTGGGGGTAGCTCGATATATACTGTACCAGGATCTCCACGGTTCGCAGGCGCCGAGTACCTTGTATAGGGGGAGGTGATAGTGCTGATGACTTCAGTGACAGTCACGTTGTGGTCGGGGGGCAACTCGATAACGACAGTGCCGGGATCGCCAGGCGAGCCAGGAGAAGAATATTTTGTGTAAGGAGCCGTGATAGTGCTGACCACCTCTGTGATGGTCACATTTCGATCAGGTGGTATTCCAACGATGATAGTTCCCGGATCATCTTCAGCACCGGCCGGTGAGTAGGTAGTGTAGATCGCCGTAATGGTGCTGATAGTCTGGGTCATTGTCACATTGGAAGGAGTGGCAGAACCGGGGGTCTCGATGATTACCGTACCGTTGTCGCCACGGTTCGCAGGAGGTATGTATGAAGTGACAGGACCAGTCATCGTTCGTGGGCCAGGCCTGTAGACAGTGACGTTTTGTCCAGGATCATCGGTAGTGGGTAGATCTTGAGAAGTCGACACAACTCTCTGGTTCGGCATGATGATGGCGATGGTACCTGGGTCACCAGGGGCGCCAGGAGGGTTATACCTGGTGACAATATCTGTTGCAGCGTCCGTAGAGTCAGCGTCACTGGTGACGGTAACATTATAGTCAGGGGTTTCAACAATAATGGTGCCGGGGTCGCCAGGTCCATCGGCAGGCGAGTAGGTTGTGAATGGCGCCGTGATTGTTGAAGCACCACGAGTCGTCGTCACATTGTAAGGACCAAGAGGTGTCTCGATGATAACGGTGCCCGGATCACCGGGAGTTCCAGGTGGGGCATACGATGAACGCAAGGTTGTGACGGTTCTTGGTGCTTCTCGTGTGATGGTGACATTGTAATCAGGTGTCTCTACAATGACTGTACCGGGATCTCCAGGTGTAGCTGGCGGCGAGTACGTTGTGAAAGGGGCCGTGATCGAGGCACCACGAGTAACAGTAACATTGTAGTCGGGTGTCTCAACAATAACGGTGCCGGGATCACCAGGAGCACCTGGAGGCGAGTAGGTGGTATGTATACTTGTAATCGAAGCGGGAGCTGCCCTTGTGATGGTGACGTTATAGGCATTGTTTGGTGTCTCGACGATGACAGTTCCTGGATCACCTGGAGTGCCTGGAGGATTGTATGTCGTCCGTACATCAGTAATCGAAGCTGGTGCCTCTCGGGTAATGGTAACATTATAATCTGGCGTCTCGACGATAATGGTGCCTGGATCTCCTGAGGCGCCGGGAGGCGAGTACGTGGTATAGGGGGCTGTAATCGAGGCGCCACGAGTGATGGTCACGTTGTAGTCGTTGTTTGGAGTTTCAATGATTACAGTGCCAGGATCGCCGGGAGTTCCTGGAGGAGCGTAGCTTGTGCGGAGACTTGTGATCGATGCGGGCGCCTCACGGGTAATGGTGACATTATAATCAGGCGTCTCGATGATGACAGTACCTGGGTCGCCGGGCGTTGCAGGAGGCGAGTAGGTTGTGATTGTGGTTGTGATATCAGTAGGGGCTGCCCTCGTAATGGTGACATTGTAGTCTGGAATCTCAATGATGATGGTTCCTGGATCAGCTTTTTGAGCTGGGGGTGAGTAGGTAGTGAACCTTGTGGTAACACCACTGGGTGCTGTCCTTGTGATCGTCACATTTCCGTGTTCAGCCAAAGCCTGATCTAAGTAAACACTAGTTTGCGAGAGAACCGTTCCTGGCTCAGTACCGCTAGGGGGAATAATGATGACATTGGTTTCCGCGCCGGTGGTACCTGCGTCACTTCCGGCGTCGGAGTTGGACCCGGTACGTGTTGAGGGATCTCCAGGAATAGTGACTGTCGCACTGATGGTAACATAACTGTCAGTATCCGGTGCATCAGCGGATGACTCTCCCGATGTATCCACAGGTGTGTAGATGATCTGTGTTCCGGGGGTTCCATCAGTGGCGGGGATAATCTGTGTGACATTCTCGCTAGCATCAGCGAACCTGGTGTTCGGTTCAATGACTGTAAAGTCATCGTTGGTATCGCTCGGAGTCAAGGTGAGTGCATCGGGGTTGCTCGAAGCAGGTGTTGTAATGCCCCTGGCCGAATCGTCAGTGGTGGGCACTGCCGACACTGAGGCGGGACCAGTAGGAACTGGAGGAGGAGTCTCAATGAGCACGGTTCCGGGATCTCCAGGGGACCCAGGAGGGTAGTAGGTAGTGTATGGTGCAGTAAGAGAATCAGGGCCGTCAGTGTAAATAGTCACGTTTCTGCCTTCCTCAGAGGTAGACTCAGCATCAGTGGCCACCGTCTGAATGAAAACAGTTCCTGGCTGGCCTGGTGTTTGTGGGGGCGCGTAACTAGTGATGGGAGTCTTGACACCCGGGGGAGCCAAGGTGTAGAGTGTAACATTGGTGCCTGGTGCCTCAGATGTAGTCTCAGAAACGGGGGCTGGCGTCTCGATGATAATCGTTCCAGGCTGCCCAGGCGTACTTGGCGGCTCGTACGAGGTCACAGGGGCGGTGATGACTCCTGGGCCAGGATACTGACGCACGATGGTGATGTTGGGGCTATTGTCACTAGGCGGGATCGTGACAGGCGGGGGAGCAGTAGCCTCCGCCTGAGTCTCAACGATGATAGTACCAGTTCCAGAGACAGGAGCAATGGTTGTGACAGTAATTGGCGCCGTAAGCTGACCAGTGCCAGTGTAAATGGTGTAGACGGTAACATAAACATCCTCGGGTGCCGAGGTAGCTGCGGCTTCAGGTGCTGGTGTTTCAATGATAACAGTACCTGGGTTGCCACCAGATGGGGAGATGGTCGTAACCGTGACGGGCGCTGTTATCATAGGGGTTCCTGTGTAAGGCCTGAAGACCGTCACGTAGCTATCGTCTCCAGCAGGAATAGTCAGAGGAGGGTTCGCTCCCTTGTTTGCGGTTTGCGGACCCGGTGTCTCAATGATGACAGTACCTGGCTGATCACCCTGGGGAGGAATGGTTGTGACGGTAACTTCGCCTGTAATCTCTCCTGTACCAGTGTAAGGCTCATAGATGGTGGTATATGAGGGAGCTGGTGTCGAGGTAACAGGAGGCTCAGATCCTGGTGTCTCTATGATCACGGTTCCTGGCTGGTCCCCTTGAGGCTCGATTGTCGTGATTGTGATCGGTGCAGTGATCTGGTCAGCACCAGTATGTGGTCTATATACTGTCACATATGAGGGCTGAGGAGCAGGTTCTGGTGAAGAGGTCACTGCTGGCTCAGAGCCAGGTGTCTCAATGATCACAGTTCCTGGTTGGTCTCCTTGAGGCTCAATGGTGGTGATGGTAACTGGTGCAGTGATCTGATCAGCGCCTGTGTGTGGTCGATAGACTGTCACGTATGAAGGTTCAGGCGCAGGGGCTGATGTGACTGGAGGTGCGGATCCAGGCGTTTCGATGATGACGGTTCCAGGCTGATCCCCGGATGGTTCGATAGTGGTCAGTGTAACTGGAGCTGTTATCTGATCTGTACCAGTGTATGGCTGATAGATCGTGATATACGAAGGCTCAGCAGCTGGGGTTGAAGTAACAGAGGGCTCCGAGCCAGGGGTTTCAATGATAACCGTGCCTGGCTGATCCCCTTGGGGAGAGATAGTTGTAAGTGTAACAGGCTCAGTGATTCTATCAGGTCCAGTATGTGGCTGATAGATTGTGATATAGGAGGGTTCAGGCGTAGGTCCTGAAGTTACAGAGGGTTCTACACCTGGTGTCTCAATGATCACGGTACCTGGCTGATCGCCTTGGGGGGGGATGGTTGTGATAGTGACGGGCTCAGTAATTCTGTCGAGCCCAGTATGGGGCTGATACGCTGTAACATAAGATGGCTCAGGGGCCGGCGTCGACGTGATGGCAGGCTCCGAACCTGGTGTTTCGATGACAACAGTGCCCGGCTGATCTCCCTGTGGAGGGATGGTTGTGACAGTAACAGGGGCAGTAATTCTGTCTGGGCCAGAATGAGGCTGGTAAACCGTAACATAGGAAGGCTGTGCAGCACTGGTGGACACGACTCGCTGGGCAGGAGTATCAAAGATAATGGTGCCGGGCTGGTCACCTTGTGGCTCAATAGTAGTCTTGATGAAAGGCTCAGTGATATCATCGGTGCCGGAGTACTCCTCATAAAGTGTCGTGTATGTTGGAGCAGGAGGCGATGTAGTGACAGGAGGTTCTGCGCCAGGGGTTTCGACCACAATCGTACCTGGCTGGTCACCAGATGGGGCGATGGTCGAAACCGTAACAGGCGCAGTGATTCTGTCGATACCAGTGTGAGGGCGATAAATCGTGACAAATGGGGCCTGGGTCTCGATGACAACAGTTCCGGGTTGGTTCCCTGAGGGAGGAATGGTAGTAGCTGTGATTGGCGCAGTGATTTGATCGGTTCCAGTGTAAGAAATAGTTGTCGTGACATACGAAGGGGGCGTGGCAATGACAACGGTGCCAGGCTGGTCGCCTTGAGGGGGAACCGTTGTGAGAGCTGTAGGCCCAGTAATCGAATCGGTGCCAGTGTAAAGCACCGTTGTTGTGACATAAGATCCGGGAGTTCCCACAACGACCGTGCCCGGTTGATCACCTTGTGGTGGAATGGTTGTAAACGCTGTGGGGCCAGTAATCGAGTCAGATCCGGTATACAGAACAGTCGTTGTGACGTATGATCCTGGTGTTCCAATAACAACAGTTCCAGGCTGTCCACCCTGAGGAGGAATCGTTGTGAGGGCAGTCGGCGCTGTGATTACACCTGTTCCAGTATAAAGTGTTGAAACTGTCACGAAAGGACCTTGTGTCTCAACAATGACAGTACCAGGTTGATCTCCTTGAGGGGGGATCGTAGTGACGGTAGTGGGCTCGCTGAGTATCTCTGTTCCGGTGTACAGAGTAGTGATAGTGATGTACGATGGCGCAGGTGGTGTAGTTGTGACAGCAGGGGCCGCGCCAGGAGTCTCGATGATGATCGTGCCAGGCTGTTCTCCTGTGGGAGCAATGGTCGAGACAGTGACTGGACCGGTGATCTGATCTGGCCCTGTATGCGGACGATAGACAGTCACAAACGGAGCCTGTGTTTCAACGATGACAGTTCCCGGCTGGTCACCTTGGGGAGAGACAGTAGTAACAATAGGTACGTTAATCTGATCAGTGCCAGTATAGGGAACCGTCGTTGTCACATAAGAAGGAGGTACGGAAGAGGAGGTCATAGCGGCCACTTGTTGGCCAGGCGTCTCAATAATGACAGTTCCAGGCTGGTCGCCCTGAGGGGGAATAGTGCTCGTTATAGCCTCTGTGATCTGATCTGTACCTGTGTAAAGCCTGGTGATGGTCACATATGAAGCAGGACCAGGCGTTGAGGTTACCGGCCGCAATTGCTGGCCTGGAGTCTCAATGATCACAGTACCGGGCTGATCACCTTGGGGAGGTATAGTGGTCGTGACTGGTTCTGTAATCTGGTCTGTCCCAGTGTAGAGTCTAGTGATAGTTACGTAAGTAGCAGGGGGAGGGGTGGTCGTCACAGGAGGCGCTTGCTGTCCTGGAGTCTCAATGATAACTGTACCGGGCTGGCCGTTGGTCGGCTCAATAGTCGTGACAGTGACAGGTTCTGTGATCCTGTCTGCTCCTGTGTAAGGTCGGTAAACCGTAACATAGGTGGCAAGAGGTCCAGCGGAGGTTGTGACAGGAGGCAAATCTTGATCAGGTGTCTCAATGATAACTGTTCCCGGCTGATCTCCTGAAGGCTCAATGGTTGTGACAGTGACGGGTGCAGTGATGCGGTCTGCCCCGGTGTGAGGGCGATAGACCGTAACATAAGTTGCTTGAGGAGGAGCGCTCGTTGCTGAATCAACAGGAGCCGGGGTAGAGGAAGGCTCAGACTCAACAGGAGTTTCAATGATGACCGTGCCGGGCTGGCCATTGGCGGGCGCGATAGTTGTAATCGTGACAGGGCCAGTAATCACATCAGTACCCGTATGAGGTCGGAACACAGTAATGTAAGACTCATTAGGGCCAGCGGGCAAGGTCACTGTTGGATTAGAGCCAGGAGTTTCCGGTTCAGGAGTCTCAATGATAACTGTTCCGGGCTGGCCACCTGAAGGTGCAATAGTACTAACGGTGACAGGTGCAGTGATGACCCCAGTACCTGTGTATGGTCTGTAGACAGTAACATATTGATCGCCTGGGCCAGGATCGAGGGTAACCGGAGGCTGGGCAACCTTCGTGTTGACATCTGGAGTAGGTGTCTCGATGACAACAGTTCCTGGGTTCCCGTTTGAGGGCTCGATAGTTGTAACCGTGATAGGCTGATCAATATTTCCTGGTCCAGGATATGGACGATATTCGGTGACATAGGTACTGCCAGGGCTTGCAGGGGCAGTGCTAGGTGCATTAGTATCCTGGGCCGCGGAAGTCTCGATAATGATTGTTCCCGGCTGTCCATTTACGCCTGGGATAGTAGTTACGGTCACAGGTGCCATAATGACAGCAGTTCCTGTATGTGGTCTATAGACAGTGATGTAGGAGCTGTCCGGACCGGGTGGAATAGTCACAGGTGCAGCCTCGGTAGATTCATCTGTCGACGTTGCCGCCTGAGGTACTGGTGTCTCAATAATGATGGTTCCGGGCTGACCGTTAACTCCTTCAATAGTAGTAACCGTCACAGGTGCCGTGATAATATCTGTACCCGTATGAGGTCTATAAACCGTCACGTACGAATTTCCGGGTCCTGGTGGAATGGTGACAGGCGCAGCATCACTAGTTGTGGTCGTTGGATCCTGAGGCACAGGTGTCTCGACGATGATGGTTCCTGGTTGACCATTAGAGGGAGGAATGGTAGAGACAGTGATAGCCGCTGTAATGAGACCAGTGCCAGTGTATGGCCGAAAGACCGTGATATAACCATCAGTTCCCTGAGTAGAAGTAACTTCGGGTGCTAATGTGGTCTCCGGCGCGGCTTGAGGCCCAGGTGTCTCAATGATGACCGTTCCAGGCTGGCCATTAGTTGGTGCTACAGTTCCAACGGTAAGAGGGGCTGTGATTGTTCCAGGTCCTGGGTAAGGTCTGTATACAGTCACATAGCCAGCGTTGTCAGCGGGAATGGTGACAGCAGAAGCTGTGGTCTGGGGCTCATCAGATGAGGAAGAAGTTGGAGCCTCAGGAGCAGGTGTCTCGATGATCACAGTTCCAGGGTGACCATTAGTCGGCGCAATAGTGGTCACAGTGACTGGGGCTGTGATAACACCAGGACCGAGATACGGGCGGTAGACTGTCACGTATCCGTCTTGACCTTGGGGAATGGTGACAGGCGGGCTGTCTGTGGTTGTAGGCTGGGCCTCTGACTGAGACTCGGGCGCTGGCGTCTCAATGATCACGGTGCCAGGCTGTCCTCCTGAAGGTGCAATGCTAGTGACAGTAATTGGCGCAGTGATCGGAGATCCAGTGTGTGGCCTATAGACAGTGACATAGTTGTTGTTGTCAGCCGGAATGGTAACTGGCGACGAAGAAGTTGGCGACGGGGCAAACTTGGTGTTGACCTCTAGTGTAGGTGTCTCGATGATGATCGTGCCTGGCTGGTCACCTGTGGGAGTCGCAGCAGTAATAGTGATAGGTTGATCAATGTTGCCGGGGCCAGGGTAGGGTTTATATACCGTGACATATGGGTTGTTGCTTCCAGTGGGAACAGTAACTGGGCCTGTCTGGGTGGCAGTATTGGCATCAGGATTAGGAGTCTCGATGATAATTGTACCGGGCTGTCCAGAAACAGGGGCTTGAGTGTATGTGATGGGAGATGTAATCTGGCCAGGGCCGGGATACGGTCGGTAGATTGTCACATAAGAACCAGTCGGATCAGGAGGGATGGTAATAGGAGGAGTAGAACCATCAGTAGTTTGCGTTGTTGGAGTCGGCGTTTCTGTTGGCTGAGTCTCGATAAACACCGTACCAGGCTGGCCGTTGGAAGGAGCCTGAGTCAGGGTTATTGGTGCAGTGATCGTTCCAGGACCTGGGTAGGGCCTGTAGACTGTCACGTAGGTATCGGCACTAGAGCTCACTGGGACAGGAGTCTCAATAAGGACTGTTCCAGGCTGGCCATTAGATGGCGTCTTGGTAATAGTGATAGGTGCGGTGATTACACCTGGTCCTGGGAAAGGGGTGTAAATGGTGATATAGTTATCCGTAGTAAGGGCAGAAGTCTGGGGCTGGGCCGTAGTCTCAGGAGCCGGTGTCGTGATAAACACAGTTCCTAGGCTGCCACCAGACGGTGCCTGAGTGCGGGTAATAGGTGCAGTAATAATACCAGGACCCGGGAAGGGCAGGAAAACGGTCACATATTGATCATCACCAGGTGTAGTGGTTGCCACATTCTGCTGATCAGTGGACAGCGGTGCTGGCGTTGTGATGAAAACGGTTCCGGGCTGGCCGTTAGCAGGGGGCTGAGTACTTGTGATAGGAGCAGTAATTACACCTGGGCCAGGGAAGGGCAGGAATACTGTCACATAGCCATCTGGTCCTTGGGAAGTGGAAGTCAACCCATTCATCTGCTTTGGTGTAGTGAATGCAGGAACAGGTGTAGTGATCCAAACAGTACCAGGCTGGCCATTGGCAGGCGGCTGGGTGCTTGTGATGGGTGCAGTGATCTCGCCTGGTCCTGGGTAAGGAACAAAAACTGTGACATAACCATCCGTTCCTTGAGACGTTGAAGTCAACCCGTTCATCTGCTTCGGTGTAGTGAACGCAGGGGCAGGTGTGGTAATGAAGACAGTACCAGGTTGGCCATTTGCGGGTGGCTGAGTCCTGGTGATGGGCGCAGTGATCTCGCCCGGTCCCGGATATGGGACAAAAACTGTCACATAGCCGTCTGTTCCAGAGGTAGTACTAGGAAGATTTGCCTCAGAAGTTGTAGCAGGTAGAGGGGCTGGCGTTGTAATAAAAACAGTTCCAGGATTTCCACCTGAAGGGGCCTGTGTCCTGGTATAGGACGTGGTAATGACACCAGGTCCAGGGAACGGAAGATACACAGTGACATAACCATCAGGTCCCTGAGTAGTAGTAGGATCTGGCAATGATGTAGTCGTGGGGGTGTCCGCAACAGGAGTCTGGATAATCACTGTACCCGGCTGCCCACTGGAAGGAGTGGCCTGCGTAACGGTAATGGGTGCCGTAATGATGCCTGGGCCGGGGAACGGTTCATAGACAGTGACATAGTTGTCGGTGCCAGAAACCGTTGAAGTGGGAGCGAACTTGACTGGTGGCGGTGTCTCTATGAAAACCGTGCCAGGATTTGTGCCAGATCCAGTGATTGTGGTAGTAAAGATGGCCGTAATAACACTCGTCCCGGTGTACTGTTCAGTAATCGTGACATATCCATCAGGGCCAGTCACCGTAACCATTGCAGTTGTGGGTTGAACCTTTATTGGAGGTGGAGTCTCAATAACAACTGCGGTAGATTGTTGACCTCCAGAAGCTGTCAAGGTGACGGTCTTCGTAACTGTGGTGCTGACATCTGATCCAGGAGTGTAGATAGTGGCAGTACCACCGGGGCCAGTGGCAGTGATTGTGAAGGGGCCTTGAGTCTCAATGATAACGGTTCCTGGCTGGCCATTCGAACCACTAATCGTTGTGACAGTGATAGGCTCAGAGATTGGGTCGCCTGTATGTGGTCGATATATGGTTGTGTATCCACCAGGGTTATCAGGTTGAACCGTCACGGTCGCACCAGGTTCAGTCTCAGTGACGGTGTCAGCTGGCGGAGCTGGAGTCTCAATGATGATGGTTCCAGGCTGTCCGTTTGAGGGAGACTGAGTGATGGTGATGGGGACGGTAATGGGGTCACCTGTATGAGGGCGGTAGATGGTGACATACGGGTTGTTCTTGCTGGGAGGGATGGTGATCGGTTGGCCACCCGCAGCAGGGGAAGTAACCGCATTCTGGCCTTTGGGGGTCTCAAGCGTTGGTATTGGTGTCTCAACGATGATAGTCCCCGGCTGGGTACCGCTGGGTTGGATGGTGATCGTGACCGGTGCGCTGATAGGGCTTCCACTATGTGGCCTATAGATAGTCACATAAGGGCTGTTACCTCCAGCAGGAATGGTAATAGGCCCACTTCCTGGTGCAGATGTGGTCGGATCAGGCGTCTCAATAATGATAGTGCCTGGTTGACCATTCGTACCTGGCTGGGTGAGCGTAATCGGAACCGAAATTGGATCACCGCTATGAGGTCGGAAAATAGTGACATATTGACCCGATCCAGCAGGAATGGTGAAAGGATCACCAGGGCCTCGAGTGATCTGTCCACCTCCAGACGGCACTGGAGTCTGGATGATGATTGTTCCAGGTTGGCCAGGAGCCCCAGTGATTGTGATTGTGTTAGGGGCTGTGACAGCATTGGATCCTGTAGGACCTTGAATAATGGTCACGAAAGAACCATCTTGACCAGGAGGAATTGTGATCTCGACATCGCCGGGTTGAGGGGCAGGAGTCTCGATAATAATAGTTCCTGGCTGACTACCAGATGGTGCGATCGTAATAGTATTGGGTGCAGTGATAACACTGTTTGGCTGTCTAACAATGGTGATATAACCACTGTTAGGGTCGGGTGGAAGCGTGATGACCTGCTGACCAGCGCGCACAGCTGGAGTCTCGATTATAATCGTTCCTGGATTGGTACCAGATGGAGGCACAGTATACGTAACAGGCTCAGTAATCTGGTCGGAACCCGCGTGGGGCCTCAAGATCGTAGAATAAGGGTTATCGCCGCTGGGTGGAATAACCTGCGGTTGGTTTTCGGGGAGATCACTATCTCCACCGGTGCCAGCTGAGCTCGAAGGTCCAGGCGTCTCAATGATGATTGTTCCATCATGGCCTGCCGAGGTTGGAACAAGGATTGTGACAGGAGTCGAAATAGCAGAAGCTCCTGTGTATTGCCTGAGAATCGTGGTGAAATGGCCACCGTCGCTTGGAGGAATCGTGACAGCACCACCGGGGTTCTGGTTACCTGGAGGGACCTGGACAACTACTGTGCCCTGATCGCCTCCAGAACCAACAATGGTGGAGACTCGAGCCTGGGTGATGTACTCAGTTCCGGTGTATGTTTGAATCACCAAAACATTGGATGTACTGCCTCCAGCGTTGCCACCAACGGCACCGCCAGCGCCAGCACCTCCAACACCAGGAGTGCTTGGTGGCACGTCTGCCCAAGGAGTCTGGATAACAACAGTCGCAGGGGCATTTCCGGCCGCCGGAATTGTCCTCGTAGCCTCGCCAGTAATGGCAACACCACTAGGCAACGCCGAAATAATCGTGGCTGTCGGGTTGTCGTTTGAAGGAGGGATTGTCAACGCGCCGGCCTGGCCAGATGAGAAAGAAGAATAAGCAGTACCAGGAACATCAACAAGAATAGTACCCGGGCTTGTTCCCGAGGGCTCGGCAATTGTGATTTCCTGGTTTGTAGTGGCATCGTTACCTCCAGTATAGGCCTGGATAATCCTCTCATAAGGATCATTACGGGTCGGAGCAAGCGTAATTCTTGGGTGTGGAAGGAGTGTCACGGGGAATAGTACTCCTCCGGGGCGGGTGTATGTCTCGACAGTAACTTGGCCCTGTATGACCTGAGTAACGGTGGCATCGTTATCGGCTGCATTCTGTTGCTTGTCGAGTAAACTCGCGTCGAAAGCTTGGCCATGATTTCCACCATTTCCAGCATCACCAGAACCTCCTGAATCTCCGTTGAGAGTAGTATAAGCATGTTGAATGAGAGTCTCCGCAAATCCTGTAGCAATGTTGACTGCGGCTTGGTCGATACCATCTTGTGCCTTGGCGGCGAGAAGGAGTGAAGAGGCTAGCAGCCCCCGTGACAACAACATGGTGTGAGTTGTCGTCGGAGACGCAGCTAGCAAATTAATTTGGTGTTGTAGAGAGTCCGTATGAGGCTTCAAGCTCCATTCTGAGGCATCCTCATCGTTTATAAGAACTCGAGAGACGGACACGATCACCCGGTACGCCTACACTGCCTCGTATGGCTCTCATCGCCCTGTCTGTTTTCGTCGCTGTAGTTCACAGAGCCGGTCTTTACGATGGGCTGTTCTCGCCCAGGTCCGCATTCCCAATCCATATTCCCAGGACGTTCTGGAGGAGCCAGGAATGTCGTCATTGAGCTAGGAGCTCATCTTGTCCTAGAGGATCTCTGTAGCGATCGTTGCCAGCCTCGTTGGGCGGGTTATTAGGTCCGAAGAATTTCGCCCTGAATGGACCTGCATGCGCCGGGCCATGATTGGGTCATGTCTCACGTAGACAGCTTGGATCTAAGCTATTGGGGCTATAGACTGGAACGTGCCGCACCGACCGGGATAGAGATCTTAGGCGTAGATCGTGTGGGTCAGGGGGGAGTCCATCTTTTTGCGTTTGTCTTGGGTGAAAGCGTGCAAGCCCCAGGCGCCACAGACGCCACATATCAGGGCCTTAAGGGGAACCAACATCTCAGGCACCGCTACTTATTCGTGATCTGGATTGAAGGATCTCCCCTCAATCCGTTTTTTAGAGTTGACTAGAAGTAAGGTTTGCTTCGGACCTGGATGCCAAGCCTGGTCGATCTAACCAGTTGCGGCATTCACTCTGTTGATATCTCGCTTTCAATTGATATAAGGCGTCACGTAAAGAGTTTATTGACATGACAGAAGCAACCTATTGGTCAAGAATCAAGCCAAGTCGAATTATAGAAACTGTATCTAGACACTTACCAAAGAGGCTGTCGAAAAGATTCCTTACCAACAAACTGTTGACATAGATGATAGTCTGCACGAATTTCAATGATCGATGACCCTCGATCGCAAGATGGCTTCATTCTCTGAATACACCGTCAATGTATGACGTCGAATAATGCCGATCTCATCGCTCTCAATGGATTCATATTGGTCAAAGGAACGCGATCGTCAGGTTAACCATTCTCTGTACTTTTGAGAGACATTTCCGTTTTAGCCATCATTGTTTGTTCGTGTTCCTGGGCAAGACATCAGAAACTGTCTCAATCACCACAATGCCCATAATGGGTATCAGGATCTTGCTCGTCCATTACATCGGTCAGAGAGGCGAAGCCTTTCCCGTTAACAATTAGATTCTGCCCCTGTGGCAACTGACTTATTACAAATCAAACTACGAATTTTCAATGCACTATTGGCCTTCGTGCAAACTCTCTTCTTACTCATGTCAATTCATTTTCAACTGTTTCTTTCTGTAAGCCTTTAAGCCGAGCGCCAGACTCATGGGAGCTTCATGAGTCTCGGCCCTGCCAAGATTGGTAGTTGGTGTAAGCTATTGATAAATATAAGAACCTAGGAGTCAGTAGCTTGGAGCTGGCAGCTGTAGTCACTGTCTTATAAAGGAATAAAATCAATAAGTAGTAGGGTAGGTATACAGTAGTGAAATTTGATAAACGATAATAGAAGCACACCCTGAGCGTTTAACTTTCCAGACCTGGAGTCAATATTTCAATTTAGTTTATAAAATGCCTAACTTCTAGAGAGTATTACATTATTCTTAAGAATTACACTTAGTTATATTTACTTATTAACTTATAGAAATTAATATCCTTTAAGTATATAATTATATATTTAATATAAAAATAGTAAAAGTTTAAATAATCTATTTAAAAGTTACCCTACCCTATAATTAATAAATTAATAGAGTGTATTATTAATATAATAAAGGGAAAACTTATCACTATGCATAATGAGTGTTCTAAAGGGCATTAATAAATCACATTAGATGCCAAAAAGGTGTTGAAGCGACGCAGGCCTGATTCGAACAGACGCCTCCGAAGAGAATAGATTTCTAGTCTATCGCATTAGACCACTCTGCCACTGCGCCTTTTGCTTACACTTTTCTCTCCGACTCTCCACACATCTTGCTCGGGACACGGCAAAGGCCGGCCGCTTGACCCAACTCATTCCCAAGGCAGGGTGATTTTGTAAGAACACGAAATATACATGACAATTTGTTCTCGGGATTGCCCAAATTTGATATTCTTCCTGTCTCAGATGTGTCTGCTAGCATTGCACATTGATGTCTCACCCTGATACAAGCAAGACAGTTCTTCTCCAGCAACGAATACAGTTCATTATCGTCATTGTGTCTACTGAGTCTAGACCTTTATTGATGAAAACGTTGCCCAGCCACAGCAGATTGTCGAAATTTCGTGGTAATCAAACAGACTCAGATTTCCAAAGGCAATCTAAGAAGATACCAAGAATGATCAAGAAATCCTGGTTTCTTGCTAAATTAGGTATAGATGAAGTATAACATCTCTCCAAGTTAAAACCCCGGCAACAACACTTTACTATCTACGCAAGGATACCGGCTGAATTGTTTTCACTTCCCTTCAGTTATAGCCTAGAGGCATACACCGGAAGACTATTTTACGCTAGATAAATATCAAAGTCAATCGATTGTTTTGGTGTTCGTAAGCTACTCGTTCCATATGACCCTCCTCTAGAGCTCACTACATCCGAGCCGTAAAAAAACAGTCACATTGACTAGAATAGCCTGGCGATCTATGAGGTTCACTAACTAGGGTAGCGTATGCATCATTATTTAGTTGAATTGATCTAGCTCGGCAACCAACGTTAGTTCTACAAAGTAGAAAACATCTAGTTACCTATGTAAATAATTTTCCATTGCACAGGCTCGACACTTTCCGCTTGAAGGCTTAGGAAGAGTCCCCGCAGAACGATCCCGCGCGAGGGGACGTGCAGAGCTTCCAGCATATCCCGATAAGAACATAATCGATAGAAAAGAAATATAGTATCAGTGAGCAATTGCTTGCAGTATCATATAACCCAAAGAATATTCTGTGTCTAAAACCTAGAAAAGATTCTGCAAGTAGAATAAGCCTGAGAGCGGAGAAACTTTGCCCCGATCGGCATCGAAAACCCCGCCAAAATTTAGGTTTTTTCTTCTTGCTACAGGGCGTTGACGTACAAGCGTCAAGGCGTATCTTGCTTTGCACTCGCAAATCCATTCACCATGCACCACGTCCTGATCGGCGAGTCGTGCTACACGGCTTCTGAAGTCCAGAAGCTCGTACAGCGCATCAATGATCAGAGTCCCGTCAAGGTTGCTAAGCTCACGGGCTCCTGGCAATACTACGTTGACCTTGAGACGGAGGATGCCGCCGTTCTCGGCAGCATTAAGAAGATCCTCGAGGCCATTGAGCAGCCTGCAGATGCTCCCTCAACAAGCGACAACAACAATGCCGTCGATATCTACGTCAGCCCCCGAAACGTTTCCCCATGGAGCTCGAAAGCTACCAGCATCGCCCTCGTCTGCGATCTCAAGACCGTTAACCGCATCGAACGAGGTCGAGTCATCCATATCGAGCTCGAGGATGGTTTCAAGGGAGAGGAGGATTTGGGTTTCCGAGACATTCTGCATGATCGCATGACAGAATTCTTCAGCCTGTCTCCACCGGCACTCGATACCATGTTCGCTCATGGTGCTCGAAACCCTCTCGTTGTCGTCGACATCTTTTCCGATGAGCGCGGTCCCTTGGCCGCTCTCCAGGAACATAACAAACAGGCTGGGCTTGGTCTCGACCAACCCAATATGGAGTACTTGGTTAAACAGTACACTGCTCTTGGTCGATCTCCTGTATGACTCATAAGTCCGACGTTGAAAATCAATTACTGATTTCAGTAGAACGACGTTGAGCTGTTCATGTTTGCTCAGGTCAACTCTGAGCACTGCCGGCATCATGTTTTTAATGCTTCGTGGACAATTGACGGCGTCAGCCAGGAGAACAGCTTGTTCGGCATGATTAAAAACACCCATAAATTAAACCCCGAATATGTCATCAGCGCTTATTCTGATAACGCGGCCGTGTAAGTCTTAGTTACACAAATACAATTCCGGTTGGAGATTAAGTATTCGGACTTGTTTGCTAACATTCACTCATAGCCTTTCCGGTGACGAGGGTAACTACTGGGCTCCAGACTATTCCACCGGAAGCTGGAAGCTCACCCGCGAGGTTGTCCAGCCTCTCATCAAGGTTGAAACGCATAACCATCCCACTGCCATCTCCCCCTTTCCCGGTGCCGCGACTGGAAGTGGTGGTGAGATTCGAGATGAGGGCGCTGTTGGACGTGGCTCTTCTCCCAAAGCTGGTCTTGCCGGTTTCTGGGTTTCTGATCTCTTGATTCCTGGCAACAAGAGGCCATGGGAGCTTGATATTGGACGTCCCTCTCACTACGCCTCCAGTCTTGACATTATGCTGGAGGCCCCTATTGGCTCTGCTCGCTTCAACAACGAGTTTGGCCGTCCTGCCTTGACCGGTACTTTCCGTACTCTTCTCACCAACGAGGCCGGATCCGACGCTCCAGAGTACAGAGGATACCACAAGCCAATCATGATTGCTGGTGGTATCGGTAGCGTTCGACCCCAACATGCTCTCAAGGAAGAGAGCCATGTTGAAGAGGGTGCCCATGTTATTGTCCTGGGTGGTCCTGCTATGCTGATTGGTCTTGGTGGTGGTGCCGCCTCCTCCAATACTGGCAGCGATGCCACAGCGGATCTCGACTTCGACAGTGTTCAGCGTGGAAACCCCGAAATGGAGCGACGAGCCCAGATGGTCATCAACACTTGCGTCGCCCTTGGACCAGAAAGTCCAATTGCCTTTATCCACGATGTTGGTGCTGGCGGTCTCTCAAACGCTCTTCCCGAGCTTGTGAAGGATGCTGGGTTTGGAGGCAAGTTCGAACTTCGGCAGGTTGAGAGCGCCGATAACTCTATGTCTCCTCTTCAGATCTGGTGTAACGAGGCTCAGGAACGATATGTTCTTCTCGTCAACAAGGATGGTCTCAACCGCTTTACTAGC